ATTGTTTTTCGGACAGGGCTGAAAAAAAGGAATACAAGTTGAGCCTGAAACTCACGCGTGCGAGATCCTCGATCTCGTTGGCGTTGGTCTCATCTGACGTCTCCATCGATTCTTCTTCCTCCAGGGTGCGTTCATCATCAAAGTCATGGACGAGCATGTCTGCTGATGGGTCGAAATCATGGTCAGCGGCGACTGCTGAGCCTCCTACACAAGGATACACAAAAATTAAAAGCAATATTGCAAAAGGTGACAGCAAATATGACGGAATTGGACATTTACTTGTGCAAATGTATCACTGTTTACTTTTGTTTGAATATATGTATATGTACATAACAGATGTGTTAAGGCATAGGGTTGTGAATACAGATCAAATCTTTGCATGCAATAAACTACTGGAAATATTCATTTTCTTATTTGATAACTGTAAACATTCAGCAACAGATATTTACATATACACATATTGCAAATTGTCTATAGTTTTTTTCCAGTGAAATCCAGTGAAAAATAAGCAATTCGTAAGAACCTTAGAAAACTGATGCAGGGTATAAACGCTATGACCATTTATTTGATAGTATGCATATTGTGAAATATTAACATAGGTTTGCAAAATAAGATTTTTTTTTTAATAATCATGATTTAAAATGTGTTTTATCATTGTTTACAAACAATTTTGGCAACAAAAACAATAATCAACCTATTTTTAGAAGTCGTTAATAACATAAATAAATAATAAATTAATGATATTACAGAGCTCATTAATTCTTCAACAATCAATACATTTTGGATAATGGCAAGTTCTAATTCTGAGTTTGACCAACATTTTATTTTTTAAGAATCCTATTGAACACGTACTATTAGGTGCACACTAACAACACTAACAACAACAACAACAACAACAACAAAAGGCTCCAACTTTATGTACCTGGGCTCGAATTCCCGAGGGAGGGCTGGAAAACAAAAAACATAAATAAAGTTAAAAGACAGCTTCAAAATATCTTACGTTTTCCTATAACATTACAATTGCACAGGGCTTAGCGCTGTTGATAACTGGAGCAAGTTACTCTGACACACAGAGCCAGATGTGAGTAAAGAAAAAGCGCGCTCGACCCTGTGCCCTGAATGCAGTTCACTGAGAAAAGAAACAAAGAAAACTGTCACCACTTCCTGTGGGAAAATATGTGCAGCATCTCGATATTACACCAGGTACAGTGGTGCTCATCACCTGCATTCAACCACAGTTAGCTTAACAGACCGGCGCTTACTGTGTTAATGTACTTACTGGGTAACTCACATACAAATAGAAAGCTAAATCTCCTTCAAACGTTAAGCTAACGCGTCCAAGTTACGCTTGGTATCAACTGCCTGTGAATAGTGACCGGGAAAAGATACATAAAACACCTCCAAACACCAAGCTGCTGCTACATATCTAATGAAAAGCGTTAAAGTGTATAGTTCAGTATTCTTAAACAAAACCGAGGAGTAACATCGCTAATGCCGCAGCTACCTTCAGGCTAGCGCAGCTAACGTTAGCTACATCCGAAGTTTACTAAACATCATTCTGTGAAGAAATTGCCAAAATATAGCAACGCAAACATGTGCTTCTTAATTTCGTGTATTAAAGCTACATCACGCAAACTATGAACACGTTCGATTGAACCGACTATTTTGCAGGATACATTTATTTTTCCCGAATATTTATTTCACTTTCTTACCTCCGCCATGTTTGCAATCCTGCAGGGTCACGTCAGGGGTTAGCGGCGGTCCCCGGATGTAGAGCCCCGCCCACCTGCAGTATTAACACCAGAATGCTCCTAAACGCGGATGATGCAGGGACATGATGTGGTGGGTCAGTGTATGTTTTGGTGATTGGATTTTCTTTCCAAATTGATTGGATTTTCTTTTCACAAAATGATATTAAAAAAACAAAAAAATTATATTTGATTTTCGTTTTAAAATTGAAGAAATAAACTTGAAATACAAGGCTTTGTTCTTTATCATGGTCAAAAAGGTATTAACTAAACTTTAAAAACGGGATGATTTTCATGTTCTACCTCTCAAAACAAAATATAAAATCACTAGAAAACAGAAACGAAAAAACGCCCGTTGTTTCATATTCTGCTACCGGAAGTTGCTGTTTACAAAATAAGAGCGCAGATCAGTACGGTCCTGTGTCGGCCGTGAAACACTGCGGTCAACTCAGCCGTCTCTCGCGTTTGCTTGTTCAAATCAGCAGCTCTTAATTTACGGTAATCGCTGTGAAGCGGCACTGACGCTTTGATGAGTGATAAACATTTTTTTTTTACCATTAGTTTTTTTAAGGAAATTGATACTGTTGGATTCAGTAGTAGTACGCCTACTAGCAATACAATGAAGTACTTTTACTGTTTAATCTTTTAGTAATAGGCCTACTCTGTCAAAGTCCCCTACTGAGAACAAAATCAAGCCACTTCTGCTAAATTTGATGAGCGATACAAATATATTTTGCCACAAGCTCTTAATGATATTGTTTGACTCAGTACTAATTAAACTACTACCACAACTATGAAGTATAGCCTACTTTTACTATGTATTTTTTCAGTAATACTCCTCCCCCTCCTGAGTACAAGAATGCATTTTTCCCTGCGATTTTTGATGAGCACCCCTTTGGCTGCAAAACAGGCATTGTTACTGTATGTTTTTGGATAAATTACACAATAAATGGCCCAGAATTGTACTTTATAAACTGTGAATCTTGTGGTGCTTGAACAAATACACACTGGCTAAGCCAAAGGTGATATAGGCTTTTTTTGTGCAATATTTATTAAAATATCACCAGTTATCCTAATAAATCACTATCTGAGGATAATACAAGCAAACATAAAACGTTCCTTATCTAGAGAGCCATTGAAACCCATGAAGAATTGATCCTCCCGCAAATCTTTTCATCTGCTATATTAATAAAGTTTCCACGTATTTTCACGCAACTTTCTGTACAGAATATTATAAAACAATTATTCGTTATATTTTAAAAGTGTTGCTAAAGACTACATCAATAATATACTGTATATCTATAGATATAAACTTAACACAAAAAGTAAGTGAAATTTGTGTTTGGTAGATTATTTCTTTGTTGTAACAATGCTTCTAGTTGGAAAGCCTGTTTATTTACCTTTCAAATGGTGCCACATTTGTGAGGAACATGCATTTGTGGGATGAGCAGCAGAGCTGAGTATGTGGGGTGTGCCCATGACAAATGTGACAAATCTCATCCAAGACTGTCTTTAAAAAAAAAGCCAGTCTCCTCATATGTATTATAAGGAAGAGAACTCATTTTCTGTGTTTTTCTCATGAAAAACAACAGTGATTTCATGTATTCAAAATGGCATTTAAAGGGTTGAGTCCTGAAAATTATAAAATATTTGGTATTTTTGATTAGGGCTGAAGTTGCTTTAAAGATTGATCTCAAAAAAGTAGTGAAAAAATATTTTAATATAATGTTTTTATCAAAATGTTTGGCAGTGGACATTTTTGTCCCGAATGGTCAATTAGGGCAGTCAATGTTGTACACAGTGAATTATAGACCCATTAGAAAAATTGGGATTCTAAAATATATCGAGAAAATAGCCTAGTTACAAAAAATCATGCCTTTTCAAATGAAAAGTGAAAAATTACCCATTTGGACAAAAATGGCCAGAGTGATACCGGAGGGTTAAATATATTGTTTTATCAAGGGCTGATTTGACCACGGAACCCCGAATCACGGCCAACACAGGACTGATCTGCGCTCTTATTTTGTGAGACAACTTCCGGTAGCAAAATATGAAAATACTGGGTTTTTTTCGTTTCTGTTCACCAGTGGCTTTATTTTTAGTTTTGAGAAGTAGAAAATTAAAATCATCCCGTTTTTTAAGTTCAGTTAATCCCTTCTTGACTATGATAAAGAAAAACGCCTTGTATTTCAATTTTATTTTTTCAATTTTAAAACGAAAAATATCCAGTCGTTTTTTAATATCATTTTGAGAAAAGAAAATTCAATGACCAAAACATACACTGACCGTGGTGTTATGGCATTATGTTATATTATTTCAGCAAAACAACTACAAAACATGTACATAAAGGCATGCACTGTGTCTCTAACTGTACCTTAAAAAGCTGTAATGTAAATCAATTAAATGCATTATAGATAGATATAGAATCGGAGGGATGAAAGCCTCTTTAATAGTCACACATGCAGAGCACACAGCACACAGTGAAATTTGGCCTCTGCATTTAACCCATCCTAATACTAGGAGTAGTAGCAGTGGGCAGCTATTGCACAGCGCCCGGGGAGCAATGGGAGTGGGGGGGGAAGGGGGTTGTCTGGTACCTTGCTCAAGGGCACCACGGCAGGGCCCAGGAGGTGAACTGGGACCTCTCCAAGTAGCAGTCCACACTCCATATTTAGGTCTGTTCGGGGACTTGAACCGGCGACCCTACGGCTCACAGTCCAAGCCCCTACCATGCATTTAAGTCAGGTATTTTATAACAGAAACAACTTTTTATTTAGACTTTTCTGTTCTTATTTTGTTTTGTTTGTAATAAACAACAGTTTGTTGGTCTGTTTGGTGTTTAATATTACTCGACTCCAACTTTAAAGAATTTAAATATACGTATTTCCCCTTTTTTATTTAGTCTTGGGTTGCCCAAGGGAAGTTTGCTCCCCATTAAGATTGATTATTTATTCAAAATATTTATTAATTATTATTTTGCCTAAAAAACTAGAAAACAACTCCCAAAAAAGAATTTCATCTAAATGCCAAGCCTATGACAATTTGTGTTTCCAGAAAGACTTATCATTCACCACAGCAAAACTATTCAAAAGCTCTATACTGTATATTCATAAATCCTGGCGAAACTGAAAAATGACCACCATGAAACAATTCAAGCAACTGCAATTACAAATTAAACTTTATCCCTGCTAACTTTCTGTTTTATTTATTTATTTGGTATTTAATTGGGTGGGGGGGGGGGGTTACATTTTACACATGTCCTTTTCGGGAAGAAAGAAATGCCAATACAAATATTTCTAAAACGTAAAAAACTTAATTCAAGACACATTTATAATACAAACTGTGTTTTTTATGTTGGTTAGGCTTAGCCACACCATTGCTATTTAAACATGGGCAGGTAAACACTATTTTAAGGTAATATTTATTCCATGACACAGTTCAATTTGACAACAAATGTCCCAGCTAATGCAAAGGTCTCTGCCTTGAATCACTGATTTATGTCCATGATAGCGGCCCACTCTCCACTATGTTGCTATGTAGAGAGCCATCATCTCAGTTTGTTCGGGGACAGATATCTCAAGCCATCCATTAGGAAACACTTTGCTAAATCCATGGCAATAAAAAGGGACATAAAAGAGCAATTCATTCTCGTTAACATTTAAGAAAACATCCTTAATCAGTGACAATGGCTTAGATTCCCACACATATCCCTAAATGACCAGGTGGACATCCGTTGTTGAAGCGCATGATGGTAACCAGAGATAGGAAGATGTGTGACGTCACAGTAGACTCTGTATAAAAAGGGTTGATCTGGATCAGGTTTTCTGAAAAGAAACAACATGAGATCTGTACTCCTGCTTGCGTTGCTGCTGTGCACGGTGTGTGTGGCGCATGTTCAGACGCAGGACAACAAAAACACACTGAGGCTGTGTGGCCGGGCGTTAATGCGGGCAGTGGTGTACACCTGCGGAGGATCCAGGTGGAGAAGAGTGACGGGGGGAGAGGAGACTTTGCAAGACGGTGAGTGAACAGTCACTTATATTTCTCTTTGTAGCATTGGGGTTCATTTCAAATAATTGACAGAATGGTTTATGTCTGTTTGCAGGTCGCAGAGAGCCAGAACTGAAGAGGACAGATAATGACCGTCAGTGGCGGGACCTAAACCAGGCGCTAATAACAGTGTGCTGCCAAGTAGGCTGTCGAAAGAGTGACCTCTCCATGCTCTGCTAGAGGACAACATCCCAAAAATCATCAAAACATTAAAATAAAATCTTCAGAACATAATGTAATTTCACTTTCCATGCTACCAATAATAAAAAACACCATGATTTTGCTTACAAATTCTTGTTTACCATTTGATACTTGGCAAAATATACTCTTTAACAGCAGAAATATTTTAGGATTTTGTTGATCAGTCTTTGTGTGTATGGTTTACTCATAGTAAACAGCGTAGACAGTGGCCACGCCGTACAGAGAGCTGTTTTTGAAGGAGAAGGAGGCGAAGGTGTCATTAGCGGCGTCCCATAGACAGCGGCTGCTGATCTGCATGCTCTGTCCCGTGAGCTGGCCGATGTGGACCAGGACCACGATCTTATATCTGGGAATCATGAGTTCCTTCACACGGGCTCTGATCACCTGGAGGGGGAAAGCCAAGCAAGGGAACTGATAGAAAACAAGTTCCAAGGGTTCAAAAGGTGTTGCATTTGTTTTTCTGTTTTATTTACCTCGCATATTGTTTTTGTCATTTTCTGAGACCATTCTCCTTCGTATTTCTCCTCCTGGAGGTAACTGGTCAGTACGTCCTTCAGTATGTCTGTGACAGCAGGGACAGGCATGCGTTTATTTGGTCCTGTAGTGAGAAAAACACAGAGACGATAATCCAACTGCAATATCTTTGGTTAGTAAATCATATTGTGAAGCAATATCATTTGAAATTTCAATGAATATTGGGTCAAAATGTCTAATGCTAAACCTGTTTCTGGTCTAGTTAGGCTTCCATCCCTTACCAATTAGAGGTGTTACAACATGTATAGCCTATATCGCTATTTAACATTATAACAAAAATGTATCTTAATCTTTTTTTCTTCATTTTGTCTACTTTTAATTAAGAAAACGACTTAAATGAATTAGTGTGTGGTGCTCTAGGGGGGAAGGAGACAAAGTGAGAAAAAAAAATGATTTGAGAGGCGCTAGAAAATTAATACTATATATAATATTATTGTCAGTTGTATGCATCACACAAACATTGTGATTTTTTAAAAACAGATTAAAAAAGTAGGCCTAGTGTAATTTTTATTTAGTAAGGGTTTATTTATGTTTTGTTTATTTAGGATACTTTCATATATTTTTTACATAAAAATTCCAAAGTTTGGTTATTCTTTAGAATTAGAAGGCCATTGCTCTTTAAAATGATGCTGTAATATTATCACTATCATATCAGTGGCATAAATCTCCTCTAAAACAACACAATGTCATAATGTAGTTTAGAGCAGGGGTGTCAAACTCAAGGCCCGGGGGCCAAATATGGCCCGTGACTTCATTTTATGTGGCCCCACAAGAGTTTGCAAAGAATATAATATGTTTATTATACAGTTACATTGCGATTTACAGAAGCAAGTTGCCCATAAACTACATGTCCCACAATGCATCTCAAATTTGAATCAGAATTTGACTTTTTTTCTTCTAAATATGTCTTTTTTTAATTTTGACTTTTTTTCCAGAATTTGGCTTTTCTTTTTAAATCATTTTGTGACATTCTCACTGAAGAGACTTGCAATTATTTTCCCTAGACTTCTGCTTTCAGACGTAGTTAATTATGAAGTTATTACCCTATCCGATAATAATCCAATGCAGAGGCAATGATGTAATATAATACATTATTTCATATATATTAAATATTTATATATTTTTATATAGTCTTAAAGTTACAACCGGCCCTTTGAGTGCAACCATAATGCGAATGTGGCCCGTGATGAAATTGAGTTTGACACCCCTGGTTTAGAGCATTATTTAATGGACAAAATATAGTCCATAAAACGTAAATGTGACAGTATACATCTCAGTGATGCATGTGTAAACCCATGGGCGTAGGAAGCATCCTGAATGTGGGGGGGACATTTTTAACGGGGGGTGTGGGGGCGAAAAAATATATAGATTTCCTGTATTCTGGTGCATTTTAACAGGTGGTTTGATACTTGTATGTGGCTATACTAGCATGAGGAAAATGATGGGTACATTTTGTAATTTCATCCAGTAGTAAAGAAAGGAAACATATTTGATTATTAATTCAGAGCTGTCTTTGAATGAATAAAAAGCAGTTTAAATGCCCATTTTTTGTACATTTATATACAACAATAAATATTTGAGTGCATTGAGAGATATTGTTGTGGAGAGTCATTTATATATAAATCGCAAAATACATTTGTGAATCCTTCTGTGAGCATTTATTAATATTGAGACTGATCTGACTCCATACAGATGTTAAGTTCAAATAAATGTTGCTCTTCTGTCTATATTGGTCATATGATGCCCCTTGACTGAAATGTTTCCTGTTCAATATCCCCACTGATTTCCTTAAAATCCTGGGATGAGAGTCCACATCACAATTTACTCTCAACTGTCATTTCCCTTTCATCACTCACCTCAGCAATGGACCTCTCTCTCTGTCCCTGTATTCTGCCTCTGACTCACTCTCAAGTGCCTAGATGTCAAGAGAGGTGGTGAAGTGATAATTATTTATTGAGCAGTATACTCTTTCACATTGAATCATAACAAGTCATACTGAATGTAAATACAACTGACTCTAAAGTAAGTCCCAGTCTGTGACATTGGACATTTTGAAGACTCAAAGTCCCAAGCAGTAGGTATCTCTCTACCATGACATAAAGACGAAACTCCTCTCCAGAAGTGAGACGCCGCCATCACTGTTAACTGCTACCAGCTGATGACTTACTTTCCTCTTCTTTGAAAAAAATGTTCTTATGCCCATGTTGTCTGGGGGAGAAAACATATCAAACCAAGAGATCGTCAGCTTTGATTTTCGCTGTATTAACCATTTCCCGAACATTTGGTGTGTGTGCCTTACCTCCGCTACCGGCATCGCTTCATACAACAGATCTGAGCTGTCCAACTATGACAACACTCCTTGAACATGCGCGCGCTATGTGAGAATCTGCCTTGGTACAAAGTAGCAGTGAAAACATGGTACGGAGTTTCATTGATTTGGGCATTCTCTCAATAAGCAAGTGGAATGGATTTAATTTGATAGTAAAGCACTGACACAGCGCTCTACAAAGTGCGGCGAGTGGATAGACCGATTCACGGACTTTCCGCATAGTAAAAGTGGGGGGTCTAAACTAATCATTTGAAAAAGTGGGGGGGACTTGTCCCACCCTCATATAATGGCTGCGACGCCCATGTGTAAACCAGAAACATGTATAGCATGTGTGTCAAACAAGTAAATATGACCTCACCCAGCTGGTAGGTGTTCTCCGTTGTTATGGCCATCCGAGCGTTGTCATCATGGTGTGCGAGTTCATCAATGTACGACACGGTGCTTATAGAGCTGGAAGACAGGATCAGATTCAGGAACATTAACAGGGTATGTGGTTCCTGATCTCTGGAATTATTGAAAAAGAGCTGAGAGGAACTTCTCAACCAGAAAGGATACACACGTATTGGGAATGCTTTTTATATATCAGTTAAAACCAGTGTTCGAAGAAATATGTCAATCTTATATTCAAGTTCAAATAGAAATGACAACTAAGTATGATTTCTATGTTACAATTACATATCTGTATTCAAAGTATTACTTAAATGAAATAGTACAAAATATTTTTGAATAAAAATACACTTTACGTCTCAAAAGTTATTATTCTTTATCATTATGCAGAATAACCAATTGTAGCATGTTATACGTTATCTTTCTTTTATTTTGCATTCATGTGTTTGTTGCTGCATGTGAATTGAATGCAGGTATAACTTAGGTCTAATTTATGTGTTGATTATATTCCATATCATTAATTTAAATGTGCAAAGTAACTAAAGGTATTAGATAAATCTAGTGGAGTGAAAAGTACTACAGTATATTATCTCTGAGATGTAATGGGGTAGAACAGGGGTGTCAAACTCAAGGCCCGGGGGCCAAATCCGGCCCGCAACTTCATTTTATGTGGCCCGCAAGAGCTTGCAAAGAATATAATACGCTTATTATACGGTTACATGCTACTTTACAGTATATCTATATATGTTCATTTTAATTAATTTCTTATTTTATAGTTATTTCTTATTTATTTTTTTTATCTTTGATTTATCCTTAATTTTATTAATCTGTGTGAATCTGTGCTGTCCTGTTTTTCAATCTTACCCTGTTGCTGTTAAACTACTGAATTTCCCCACAGGGATTAATAAAGGTCCATCTTATCTTATCTTATTTTACAGAAGCATGTTGCCCATAAACTATATGTCCCACAATGCATCTCATTTTGTGACATGCACACTGAAGAGACTTGCAATTATTTACCCTAGACTTCTGCTTTCAGACATAGTTAATTATGAAGTTATTACCCTATCCAATACAAATCCAATGCAGAGGCAATAATATAATATAATACATTATTTCATATATATTATGTATTTATATATGTATATTTATATAGTTACAACCGGCCCCTTGAGTGCAACCATAATGCTAATGTAGCGCACGATCAAATTGAGTTGGACACCCCTGGGGTAGAAGTATAAAGTAGCAGGAAATGGAAATACTCAAGTTCTGTTCAAGTAAATCTAAATTGTACTTAAGTACCTGAGTAAATGTACTTGGTTACTTACTATCGGACCAAATAATAAACACGACTGACGAAAATGCAATAATATTAAAGTTGGATATCTGCCCACGTGATTACAGAGCACTCACTCCTTGGTCCTGCCTGTGGCCTCCTTGCCTCGGGCTCCATGTCCTCTCCTCTGGGACTTGTCTTTAAACACCTCATACATGACAGCTTGTCTTCACAGGACGACAACAAAAACATACTGACGTTAGCTCAGTTATACATATACAGTGGTATTGTTAAACATAAGCTAAATTCAACACTTGAGGGCGAGTATTAAATACATAGGCTATTGTCAAAATGAAAACTCGTAAAGCATTTAACGCTAACACTTTGAAACAGTGCTATGCGCTAGCTCTTCAGGGTACGTAAACATGCTACCAAGGCTGTTTGTAGTTGGCTTGTTTGTTAACCCATTATTACTTTTATCTAACTTTGGAAAACAGTATAGTTTACAGAATATTTGGTGTCAAATAGGACACAAATAAATATAACCAAAGCGTTGTAACAGGTTATTACCGATTTCAGGAACTCTTGAAGCAGAAGTAGTTAGTCCTTTAGAGCTTGGTGTCGTCATAGCAACCAAGTACCATCAGTCAGTGGGCGGGACTTCCTGCTGCCGATCTGCTCTAAAGATGTACATTTTGTTTTTGTGTATCGACGATAAAATGACTATTGTGCTGATACATCATTCTACAAACTGCTAAATGTTGTTGTAAGCTTCTTAAAAAAGCTTGTGTTTATACTGGATTTTGGACACAGCAGTTGAGAAATAATCTCATTAAGATAGATTTGAACTGTTATAGAGATTTTGAATAGCCTAATGTAAGTAATGTTTGCAAATAAATAAAGTTAGTAAAAAGTACAATGTCTGCCGCCAAAGTGTAATGGATTAGAAGTATAAAGTAGCATAAAAGAAAAATACTCAAGTAAAGTACATCAAAAATGTACTTCAGTGCAGTACTTAAATACATGCACTTAGTTACTTTCCACCACTGGTGGCATTTAGGAATAAATCCTGAAAGAAATTATATATTTATTTTAGTTAACCAGTGGAAATCAGGTTGAGCGATTCACTTTCACAAGAACATGCCCCACTAAAACATGTTGTACAAAACAATCATATACTTTTCTATATTTGGACAAATGAAAGTGAGATACACGTCACATATTTCCTCTTCTTTATTACCAAGTAAAACAGGTATTACATTATATTGATTTTTTTTCATATATTTACTTTCAAAATCTTTGGATGGGAAATTTACATGACATGTTTGCATATTCTGTGTCTAATGCAGTGAAAGGAATACAGCCATAAAAGTTGTAGAAAAAATTAACGTACAGAAACCCTCACGCATCGGAGGAATAAGTGTATTCTGAAAAATAAGGCAAAGAAAAATATAAGCATAACAAACAGAAACACTGAAAACAGTCCTTCTTAAATGACTTAAATATCGTTTTTTCTTTTTCTAAGACTTAATGAAATATTACACCTATGCCCAAATTGTGAGTCAACACATGAAAACATTGTATAAAATGGTTCAAACACATATGTGACATGAGCCCATGGGATGTTTAATGGGATGAGTGTGTTTTGTGTGCAAGTCAAACAGGAGAACACCTATATCAGATGCATGGAATGGGATTATCTATGAATACATGCCAAATGTATGGACGACGAGTTTTTTGAAGGTGCAACAACAGCAAAACAGAGTGGATGTTTAAGTGAAGGCAGAAAGTCTCCTCCCATAGCACGATTATACAATAACACACGCATCATGACCTTAGTGAAATGGATACATTGGTATTGCATTGATGAGACTGGAATGGAACGAATGCAGATTTCATGCGGCACCGTTTGGAGTTATTCATCAACAGTTACAGGTATTTTTTGGTACAGAAACCCACATGTAAAACAATAGATGAGTGTTGGTGTTGTTACAGAATTCATCATGAGTGCTGACATCGATAAACCCAAAAGACGATCACAGACACATCCATATGCCCAGAGAAATATTCGAAACATAGCTTTTTATGTACACTTTATACACTTAAATATTGCTATTAGAAAATGATAAAACATTTATTCAACGTGGTGGAAAAGGAAGGAAATGAAACAGGGACATGAATAGTGCTGTCCTCTTCATAGACATTTCTTTTTGTTACTCTGTGATGTCCCCGATATTCCTCGTCAAGACCTCTATCAAAGATCGTGGTCAAAGGAAGTGGCCGACTTTTTTAAGCAGCATCAAAGGCAACTCCTACACTTTTCCCTTCTAGATTTCTCCTGAAACTTAAAGCTCCTCCTCCCCACTGTATGGCACTCACGTCTGGCTCTGTATGCGTCTTAAGGCCCTTTTCAAACATATTTTCTGTAACATTAACAGAATAAAATTAACCTTCCAGTGAAAGTAGCAGCTTCTGTTTCGCCTTTTTGTTACAAAATGTGACCATTCACAACAACAAATACCACTTAAAAGTCCTGTGGTGTGGGGAAGTTGATGTATCTCAGCATTGCACGTGCCCGTAGTGGTTATGTAATGCTTTTTGTTCTTCAGCAGATAGTTTCAACTTTCTGTTCACATGACCCGTTAAAGACAAAATGCCATCGTTGCAGTGGTAAAAGCTGCATGTGTAAAATTGTAGCATTACATATACAGTAAGTGCTTCAATCTTGAATGCAGGATGGGACTAAATAAGGTATTTTTGTTGCAAGCACATAAATGATATTTTGTAGAGTATTCATAAGGGATGCACAATTTAAATCGGGTCAATAAGTAATTGTTCAATAACAGGAAATGTGTATTATCACGAACTGTTCCTATAATAAAGTATAACACAAAGCAAAATGACTTTCATTGACTTAAAAATAATTCAAGAAGAAAACTCTAGAAAGCTATGTTTGCACCAGTGTAGAAGAATTTCGCAGTGTCCGACAATATGATTGCAATTCAATTCTTCTACCAGAAAAAAATGTAATAGCATTTGAGGAGGCTCATTGTAAATTAACAATAGTGATGCCACTTTAATTTGGTTAGGTCAGAACTATGGGATTTTATTGCATTCCTTCTTAGCTCACTACATCTCAGCCAGGTTATGAACTTCTCTTTTAGAATTCAAAAATGGGAAATCGATCGGCCATCCTATTGATATCGGCCATGAGGAGCAGCAATTTAAGGGTTATCGGTATCAGCTGAGCCAAATAAAATTCACAACAATAAACTTATCTGGTTGTAGAATGGAAAGCAGCCACAAATAAAGTATGTTTTATACAATACATACACACATTTAATGAAACTGGTGGTACGTCATTAAGAACACTAGCTATCTTGGTAGCTAGCTAGCAAAAGGCTGCTAGATATGCCGTAGCTAACTAAGCTAGCTGGCTAACTTCATAATGGTCAGATACACAGCCACGGTACTATAATAATTAATATAGTCACTTAAAAAAAGCTAAGTTAAACCTGCAATTTGATGATTTTCTGGTTCCTTTCGGAAACACTGACATTTAATCAGCTTTTAAGTTGATTTGATCAACAGTTTAGCGTATTAGCCCTGATAAACACACCCAGCGGATAAGTAGTAACATTAGCATTTTGGAGTTGTGTTTTTGGTCACCTGATGATTGACATTCCAATATTTTCTCGGCTTTAACTCATGTTTTCTTGTTCCTACCAACTCCCGAGGATCACTGTCACTGTGGCGTCTTCTAGCCAGTTTGCTAACTATGATGCTATCTGTTTGTTGCTGGGCAGGTTGTACGATGGGTTGATATGAGCTTTTACTCTTAAAAAAGCTGCCTGTAATTATGTGATACAGTGTTAATATAAAAATATTAATTATAGCTTTTTCAGATTTAAATTTAATTTAAATTTGAGATAAGTAAAATAAGTATAATTCTTCCAATGCTCAAATAAATGTTTTATTTGCATGGTTCAAACTCTACAAAATAATATTAACCTGCTTGCACACAAAGTTTTACTGTCCTCAAATTCCCCACCATGTGCTCCAGATTGAGGCACCAATATAATTCCGTATAAAAAGCACCTTCAGGTTAAAAGTGCTGATGTTAGTCCAGCGCTGCGGGTCATTCTGAACTGTGAACTGACCAATCCCCTTCAATCACAAGACTGATAGAATGGACTGTGACATTTCAAAGGCTGTCTAAACAGAAACATCAATTCTGCTTAGACGGCCGGTGAGATCTCACTCATGGTGGAAAAAAACTCTGATTTGAGGTGGCAGTGTATATCAGATATTACCATGAAACCTACAACTTATCGGAATACAACTGTATAGCAAATCTATAATACACCATTTTTTTTACATTTTCCTGTCTTTTCCACCTTGTTTTAGATTGCGTTATATAATCTACTCACATCATCCTTTACAGTGCATTTTGCAATGACAACAGAAACTGCAATGAATAAGGCTGGATCACTGTATGAATCCACACATATGTTAACAAGAACAAAGAAACAGGGTTTCGCAATGTTTTACTCCATATAAGCCCATAAGTGCACAAAACGAATGATTTGTTTTTACTTGCATAAACTCAGCAGGAGTCCGTCTACTGAATGATGATGTCATGAAATAAATAATCCTGTATGTGTGTGTTCTGTTATTCTGTAAAATATCAACCAGTTATTTTAATGGTTGCCTAAGATGAGGTTTCAGATGCACTGAACATGGGATGGATCCATAGTCTTCACAGTCAAATGCCATTGATTCTTTTGGTTCTGTTCCCAAACAAGTCCGCTAATTATCCGCCAAATATTTCCCTGTGAAATAAAACAAAACATGTCAGAGAAGCGGAAAGGTTCATCTGTGTCTGTGCATTGATGCCCTGACATTAAAATGCCTCTCCCTAAGTGGCATGGGCGGAGTTTTCCCGGTGGGCCGGTGCTGTGCGTGGGCCGGAGGGCCGGTCGGATTTGCAGTTCAAATAAATGTTGTAGAAACTTGGATTTTGGTATCGTTCGTCTTCCTTTTAGTCAACCTTGGGCAGATCGTCACGGTATCATTTTATTCCATGTGTCAAGACAGGCAAATTGGGTCCAAATGTTATTGCATCAATGATCTGTTAACATTAAAATCACTAAATATATGCTGTAATTATTTAGCTGTAGGCAACTCAAGGGCTCAGGTAATGTGATTACTATATGAATAATGGTCCAAAATAACATAAAATGCATAGGGTTTTTTGTTAAGTAACATACTTTCGTTGCCGGCCGGCCGATACATGCCGCGCATTAAGTGGGCCTGTCTGTCAATTAATCCCCGGGCCACTTTTTCCCCCCAGTCCGCCCCTGCAAAGTGGCCAATTGTGGTTAGGTATAACTTCCCGGCTCTTTATGCAAAAAAACACATTTATGTTTTCTGCTTGCAAAAAACTAATTTGTTGCCGTTTTTAACCAGCAGGAGGCACCAATACAAATCCACATTGTCCTATTGTATTGGAGAGGTTTGTCGTGAAATAGGAACCAGGGTTATTATCGTAGAGTAGAACAGAATCTAAAATGAAAATAAGCCGTGAATTGTTTTCTCTAAAATGAAACTATATAAAAACAATATCCTTATAAAGAAAACCTGAAACAATATTCCCCGGTTAATATATTGTTTCTTCATTGTATTTTAAGTACAAATTAAAATACAATGAATGAAGAAGAAAGTGAATTAATTTGAGTTCTAGTTTTTTGATATAATAGATTTTCTGTCACTCTGGTGACATTAAATCACAGAAAATGAACATACTTAACAGATTTAAATATTGTAGCATAAAATTACATAAACATGAACTATTGAGCTTATGCTAGTTTTAACCATAGACTGTATATATAACTTTTAACCCACTGTGGTCCTGTTCTTCTAAGTAAGATGGTGAAAGAGGAATCAAGTTAATTGCTGTATCAAAACATATACACTACATAGTTATCCAACCTTGTAAAAAAATATATTAAATAAACTAAAACTAATTAAAATAAAACTAGCAATCACCCTGGAAACTAACTAAACCTTGTATATCACCAGTAAAGCTGTGCACTGTGATGGGATCACATGTTAATGTCAGGCTGAACAGAATGCTGTCCTAAAGAGGTCACATAAATGCTGGATGCTCAAACTGACCTGCAGCAAATCTCTTCTTGATCAGCGAGAGCCGGTAGCCCGTCCCCAGCAGCTGGATGTCGCAGCCCGACAGAGTGCAGCCCTCACTGCTGAACTGCACGGCCAGCTGGGAGGGTTTACAGGGACCCTCTGTCATCTGGAACCGGCCCAGGAGAGCCCCTACTCCTGAGGGACACACACACAGTACTAATGGGTACAATGTGCACATTTTAACTTTAACTTTATGTTTTCAAATGTTGCTTTAACTTCTTATATAGAAGCTTTAAAATATATTTATTTAATTTTATCTTTTTTTTATAGCACAACATAACTTTAACTTCTTATGCTTATATGAATATTTGTATTCTTATTACTAATAAATAAACTCCCAGCCACATCTGATCTGCCAACACTCTCACTTCATTCAAAAAATCACACACCTTTTCACTCTTGCCTTCAACTCCTAATCCACTACTAACCCCTCGCCCCTATTCCACCTAGTTTAGCACCTTTTACTTTTGTTGTTATTTGTCTTCTTTACTTGCGTGTAAAGCGATTTGAGCACCAGGAAAAGCGCTATATAAATCACATGTATTATTATTTTTATTTTTTTTCATTCTAAAATGCAGTAACTGCCAAGAAACTGAATTTCACCCGAGATTAATAAAGTAATAATTCAAAATGTAGAAATCAATTAAAAAGACGATAGTAATAAACTTCTAGCCTGTAACTGAGATTTCAGTTCAGTCCAGTATAAGGGAGAATATGATAAGATGAGAACTGATTTTGTTTTAAAAATTCCCTTCCATACATGTTTTGAGAAATGCAAAATTATGTTATGATTAATATTTAATTTCACGTTTCGTTGACATTTCTCAAGTCTGAAATAAATAAAAACTCCCTTAATGACAAATTTTGTCCCAACATGTTTGACTAAGATGAGTTTGTAGTTAGCATTTCTTATTTGTTTACATTGCTAGATAAATCATTCAGTGGTTTATTAAATGTTAGTGGTTGTAAATTATTCAAATAAAATCTAGTGGATTATTTTTGTAGATAGTGGAAGGAAGCTCCAGTGTCCAATTTACATCAAAAGCTGTCTTCTTTACCATGTTTGCTGTCAAAACCTTCACAATGCTAATGCTAACTCTCCTCGCTGTACCACAAGCCCACTCTGTGAAGCTTTCTTTGCCTCCAGCACATTGCCCTCAGGACTCTGTTGTGTTGAAGACCCTCCTTGTTGGTACAGTATATGTATGCATTGACGTATACGACTGGGTTTTGCTAAATTTGTGACGCACGTAAGCTAGCTTGTAGCTAGCAAGTGTGTTAGAATCTCAGATTTTAGGAAAATACATTGACAGGAATGTGAAAACAACACCCGAGAGACCAGCTTCACACAGATATAACTAAGTATGGTCAAGTCTGGACAATTAAGGTGGCATAAACATAAGAAGAACAAAGGAACTTCACCATGAAGAATATGAATGAACACAAAAATGAACACGTACCTCCATTTTCTGATCTGTGAGAGAGACTGGGGATTTTCCACTGTATCGTCTGCTGCTCTGGATTCCTTTATGAGAAAGTGATTCCACATTACAGAGACAATGTTGCAGTCTGATATGCATTAAAGGAACAGTTTACCTCCAAAATCACCTTTTGTATATCCACTACTCACCCTGTGTTACCTTTATTTCGTGAAGATAACTTTGTTTTTCTTACAAGCCTCCACGGTGAAGGAAGAATCAGAAACGGAACAAATAGCAAGATATCTTTTTATAAACTCTTATAAAACCTGTGCAGTATAATCCAAGTCTTATTTATCCACTTCTAGGCTCACTATTTCACAAACACATACATTTTTACTAAAACGGTACTATTTTAAACAGCATAAACCTTACAAGCATGGACAAAAAGCGCACCTGCACAAGTGTGAGACTATTTATGTGGGCGTTTTGATATGGTAAACTGTGAACTTATTATGATTTATTATATTCTGCGTTCAGGCATGCGAGGTGACAAAATTTTCTTCAAGAATTCAAGGTAACATGGGGGGAGTAATTGATATACAAATGATCATTTTGGGTATTCTTTTGATTGATAGAAAGTCAATTTGGCCTTATTCCATTATTACAGGAAAACTTGAAGATAGTGTTGACACATATACCATTTTCCACTTCATTATGGAAAGATTTACATTTTAAAATCAAAACCTAGCATCTAAACATTCCATTTCTTTGGCAGAAGTGCAAACAAAGTATGATAAGTTAGCTTTAGCACCTTCTATACAAACCTTTATGTGTGAGTGCCACTGTTTTGTTTCAATCGAGTGGTGCAGTGACATATTTGTGTAAACCGACCAGGAAGTAAGCATAGCAAGGGCTCCCTTGACAATAAGCATGGGGTTTTTCCATTGGATTTAGGAATATTGTAGAAAATAAGCTCTGTGGCAAACAAACGTTTATGATAATTACATGTTTTTGCTGCAGGAACATTTCCATATAATAACAACACTTTTGAAGTGTAACTGTATCACACTAAGTAAAAAGCTAACGCTAGGCTATAAATGAACAACATCACAGGCATATGACTTCATGTCACCGCCGCTAGGCTAAAGGCGGCTAATGTTCAGCGTGATGATGTTTAGTAGTCCTATTTAGCCACATGTTTGCAACTGCTGTTTTTTGACGTTCACCAGTTTCCATGTTTTAGAACAAAAGTTAAAATATCTTAAGCTTGTGTTAACCACATATCTCATATCAAGTATCTTACCAAATTACCGCATAAAAAACATTGACTGCATGATGAGGGAACCGCACTGTAAGTGGTCAAATGCTAACTAATTTCCAGGTTTCAGGACTCATCCCTGCACCACTCTTCTGATCTTTACCACGACAGTGCACCCGATTCATCATTTAACATTTGTAGCTGTACTCCCCACAACGGCCTCCCCTTCAGCCCCTAGAGATGGTGCTTTATGAAAGGACTCCTTACCAGGTGGCGGGGGGGATCATTGCCTGGAGTTTGGCCATGCCTCCGTCCACAGGAACCAGGAACTGGAGGTTGTGTAGTGGCACAGGGGCGGCCATGGCCTCCGTGTTGTATTTGTAGTCTATTCTCAAGTCTGTGCTGGTGGCGTCGCCTCGCCAGCTCACCGCCAGGTTCAGAGGAGAGGACTGGATCCCCTCTGCAGACACCTGAGAATCATGGAAACACAATGAGGGGGGGGGGGGGGGTCATGTGGATGGATACTATAGATCAACTAGATACATAGACGAGGGGATATTTGATACCTGATATTTGATCATGTCCACGTTGTAGTATGTCGCCTGAGGCTTCTGCTCAGCCACTCTCTTCAGATGGCTCATCAGGTTTGGCATATTCACCCAGAATTCCTTGGTGTCTACACTTTCTGTTGTGGAATCACTGAGGGACGAGAGGGATTCTTTTGATTCAAACAATCTACTCCATTTACCATGTGAGCATTAATATAAGACACTTAATTATATCATATATGCAAGTAGAGTGATATATTGAATATACTAAATGTATTGCGGCGTTTTTCTGTGGGATGTATTAAAAACTGTTGTCATAAGCTTCTCTTTACTGTTCCCCTTCTCTCTGGGATCTCTCCCCCACCGACACACTCTCCTAAGTGAGTGTGTGAGGGGTATGGTTCATGTGTTTTAATATCTAGACATTTTTTATGAGATTTTATATGTGTTGAGGTCGAAAAAGCCCAATGGATAATGCCAGCCTGATTCGGAAAAAGACTACTAACCAGCCACCGCTTTATTTTATGAGACGTGCACATACAAGGTACTACATTAAGAGTGTATAAGAACTGATTTTAAAATAAAAGTGTCCAAGAACTAAAATAAACGTGACTTTATAGTGGTTCAAAAAGTTAATCAGTCAATAAAAATCAAATAAATCAAATGAAAAATATTCATATTCAAGAATACATTTCCTGTGACCAATCTCAGAGACTTAAAACAAACAATAAAACACCACCACAATGCTGAATGATCATACTTTCCAAAGGTTACAAATCAAACATATTTTATGGAGAAGATATACAAAAATGTCAAGATTGTATCTTATACCAGAAGCCTAAAAATATTGAGATGTCATTATAAGCCGTACCCCTAAGAGCCCTAATAGCCCTGCCCTGCATGTATTACAAATACAGAGACAAGTGAGACTATTGTGTGCCTGTAATGCTATTCTTACCAGCACAGCAGCTGAGGGTTGGGGAGGACCTGCTCCAGTCGGCTGTAGTTGCTGATGCAGAATGTGAGGATGGGTTGAGTCGGGTGGCTGGCAAAATGCCTGGTGATGCCCGCTGGGAAGGAAAGCACCATCTCCCCTGTGATCTTCACAACACATCTGGGACAGAGGGAGTGAAGAGGCAGATCTCATCTTTTTGTCTCATGCTGAACAAAAAAAACACACACTCCCAGCACCCCTTTAGTGTCAAAATTGAACAGAAAAGTTGGTGTGTAGCTGCCAAGAATGTATCATTCCTCTAAAAACGACTCTTAACAAAATGAAAATCATTGCATATCAATGCATACTGGTCATTAGAAGGGTTAAGGACACCGTGTTTAGAACAGAGAAATGTGGGCCTACTTGCTGGGGTCTGCGCCTTTGAAGTAGGCATTGATGGTTTCTGTGAAGGCAGCTGCCACTGGTAGAGTGTCCTGGGGCCCCATGGTGAGCGGACTGGGTCCTCTGGAGCATCCTGATGAAACACACACAAATGATCCCTTTAATACACTTGGACTATGTCTATTCTCTGGGCCTTTTCCTCATATGCTCAAATGTTCAGCTATGGGTTATACGCAAATGATAGGGGAGGATTTAAAACAGGGTACCCCCAGGGTTCTCAAGTTAAAATTAATTCAACTTTAATAATGTATGTTAGTAACTGTCACTGCACACAAAAGCTTTCCGGTCTTGGCGGTCTGCTCCCTTGGTAAAAATTTGATTCCATGTTAAAACGACAGTTGCCCATTTTGAGGCTACCTGCTAACGTTAGCTTGTTAGTATATTTGCAAGATATTTCGATTTTTTTCAAAACAGCTGTCTGATTCACAGCTTAAGTTCACGCACACTTTTGAATTGTAACTTCACACACATACAGAACATTTTATAATAAAAATAAATGTTATACACTGATGTGATAAGCTAATGTTAGCATGTTAGTAGCAGAGTGCGCAAAGTTTTGTTTATTTTTCTGACAACTAACAAATTTGCTGACAGAACTCATGCACATAATAAAACTAACTTCACACACACACACACACACACACACACACACACACACACACACACACACACACACACACACACACACACACACACACACACACACACACACACACACACACACACACACACACACACAGGCGTTAAGCTGACGTTAGCTTGTTAGCAGCAATATGCAAGGTGTTTCGTTATCATTCCTGACAACTGACTGATTTGCGGTCAGAGCTCTGGCACACTATACAATTGTAGCAGTTATTTATGATGTTTATATGATATTTCAGTTTTTTATAAAGGACCATAAAAAAAACGATTTAAGGCCTTTGGGAAAAAATCCATTTAATTTAAGGAATATAAATATTCTTTAACACTTTTAAGACCCTGCAGGTACCCTGATTAACAAAAAAAACTCATAACTCAACAATGCATCTAGAAAGCAGAATGTTCTGATTAAGCAGGACATGGGGTGGGATGGGCAGCAGTTCCTAGCATTGAAGGTGAACATGAAGAGGACTGCAGGTAGGCAGAGGGCAACCCATGCACTGTTGGGACTACATTCTGGCTCGACTCACCTTCAAAAGCTAAATAAAACCTGCCGTGGTCAAACCATACTAGAGGATGTGAGGCCTCTGAGTGAGACATGAGGAGGAGAGAGTCATGGAGAGGGACAAGACTGTGAGGCATGATGAGCGACAGACAACATGGACGGATGAAAAACAGGAAGAGCACGATGACTTGTTAGTGTTGTACCTGCGCCGGACATGTTAAGGTCCCTTCCTAAGGTTGGAGTGGATGCTGCGCTGTGTAGGTTGACGGAGGTGAGGGAGGAGGAGCTCTCTGCCCGGGCCAGGGGGGCGAAAGGCGGGGGGCTGCATGACACCGGCGGACTGAAGGGCCGAGTCTGGACACAGAACGTTGAATTAGAAATCAGTTGATATCAGTTTTAAAGGTCTCCTATTATACTATTTGTATGCATATATTATAGGTCTCAGATATATAAAAAACATGTCTATGCAGTGTTTTGCTCAAAATACCAAACAGATCACCCATTGTAGCCATGCCTCATACCCCTCTATTTCAGCCTGTTAGAGAAGTGCTGATTCTGGGTCCGTAGCTTTAAAAAAAAAAAAAAAAACGAGAGACGAAAGCTCATGCAGGAGAATTCTACCCAGATACTCAGCTAAACGCTGACATGATTAAACGCCATATCATGTTCCAAACCACATCAAGGATTATTTCTGAAACAGTATGGAGCTCAAATGCTTTTTCTCTCACGTGTTTACCACAAGGTGAGTACCTTTTATATCCGGCTTCTTTACACACATATTACTTGCGCATTGTTTCTGATAGGGACGTTTCTGATAAAGCCAGCCCACATTTCCGATATTACATCATATCGGACGCAAATCTGGATCAGCTCCGTTGTACCTCCGTTTTTAGAGATGTGAGTAAGGAGGAAAAAAGAGAGGGTTGTATTTTCGGACACTTTGTGAGTCTACTGACACACTGGGGACACATATTTATGTATAAAAACATCAAAAAGTGCATTTTGCATTTCTGTTTTGCCTTTAACAGAAAAATGAAAGGACATTTCACACGTACCAGGTCTGTGATTGGCTTCCCCGGGGGCAGCTTTGGTCGCGAGGACGGTCGAGGAGGAGGAGGCGGGGGGACCGGGCTTCCTCGAGACTGAGGCGTGGCGGGACGAGCGGGGGACGAGGGGCCTGCGGCACATACCAGTGTCTGTGGTTAGCACTGCCTTCAGATCACAGCGAGAGAGGTTATCATTCAACATCAGCTCCTACATCTCCACTCATGTCACTCACAGAGCGAGATGACCTCACAGGAGCGTGCTTCGGACAGTAAAGGGCCCTTCACACCATCTTATAATTATTGTTCTTGGTGTGGACGGCCGTTGACTTCTGACCAATAAGGTTTTGAAAAGGTGTCTGTGATATTTAACCAAATTTCCATTCTACAATTGATACATTTAACAGAAAATACCTAACTTTCTTAAAGGAGGGCAGCTGTTCTGGGATGCCAACAAAATCACTTATTACTTTATCTATAAGTATGTGATAAATATACCCATTTGATAACTCCATTGACATTGCTCAATACACACCCCCAAGTGTCAAGTGTGTGTACCAATGTCCTATGTATCTTAAATTAAGAATATAGTTTAGTATCTATAATAAGGTTACTGGAGGGGAATGATAGAAGTATGTCGTTTTACAGAGGTACATTGCTAAGGGTTAAGATCACAGAGGCTGTTACTCTATATTCATACCACTAGATGTCAGTAAGTAACTTAGAATGAAATCATGACACTATGATGTGTCCAGTGACTATAATAACATCATGGTGTCATATGGCAGTTTACGTCAATGTGTGTTCAAAATGTCCTTACTTCAGCACTTTATCCTGTTCGAGATGTGTGTATAATTGTCATAAATAGCAGATGTATTCTCCATCACAGGGAAATAGACATTTGAGTTAGTTTATCCTTGAGTCCATGCAGACTTTCTGATAAAGAAATGATCTCCAGGGGTTCCTGAGATATTGCCTTCCTTAACAAGAATTGAGCGATGGACAACAACCCAAATCGCCTTGGCTTTCACTGACTTGGAGGCATCAAGATATGAATCATATTTATATGTACAGAAAAACAAATGGTAAACTCAAATGGTGACTGCTGTTCTTGAGATTGTGATAAGTGTTCTGTAGCTGGTTCAGATTACGACCGAATTGAAATCAGATCTCTATCACCGAAAACACATTAGGCAGCACAGCGGTGGCAAGGAGTCATGTTATGTGTGATTCAAGCAGGATATAATTGTTTGTTAATAGTGACAGGTTTACTTTTTGAATTGTCACCAAACTAAAAACTATATCCAACTTTTAGTTTGGCAGAACATTACCGCAGACTCTAAAAGTGTATCTTGTTTAAATCCAATGAGTGAACCTTTGATATCAGGTTTATAATACACATAAGATAATGTTGTGTAAATAATCCAGCACCTCAAATCATTTTCACTTCTTTACATTTCGCTTCGACCATTCATCGAGTTACTTTTTCGCTGTGAATTAGTGTTTTTGTTCTTTTAGTACACTTTTGTACATTAATGGTTACAGACACTGTCTCTTTACTTCCCTACACTTGATTTGAAGTGTAATTCATTTGCCAAAAAAATTGACGAAATCATTATTATAAATGATTTTGGCCAAGGTATACATGTAGCTCTGTTGGCTGCATTCGTTTCAATTTCCGCTCAGAATCCAAGCGCAAGCACTCTCCAAAGTGTGACCCTTAAATGGTTTCTTTGCTGGGGAAAACATTCATTTGACAGGCTTTGTCCATGAGTAATATAGGTGTGATATTGTGTATTAATGGTGTAATATGGGTGTATTATGAGTGTAATATAGGTTTAATAATGTATAAAATGTGCAATGTATCTCACAAGATACAGAGGGTAAGTTAGAAAATAAAGGTATTTTGAAAGATATCATGAATGCCTCGATACATTACAAAAAATCCATTTGTTTTCCAAAATATAAATGTGTTTGCTCATTTAAGGGTTAAATACACCATCACCCTTTGTGTGCAGGCTGCATGACCCACTGTGAAGATGTGGAAAGAGTACTCACGGCTGCCTGAGGAGGGTCCCGGGGAAGACATGATAGACCTGTAGGTGGTAGGAGGAAGAGGGGGGGGGCGTGCCCCTGAAGCTCGGCGTCAGCTCCCTGGGAGAACCTACAAAGTCTGAGATATCATCCCTTAGGTACGCTCCCTCTGGAGTCCTCTTTCCCCCAAAGCCCCCTAGGACCAGCGGGGATATGACTCCTATCCGAGGAGACCTCCGCTCTGCTGGCAGAGGGGGCACCGGGCTGGTGGGGGCCGGGGACGAACAGTAAATTGCCTCTGCAAACTGCAGCACCTCCTCGTCGATCGCATCGTCGTCGAAGCACATCGTAGGCGAGGTGGAGGGGGAGAAGTCGGGAGGCAGGGGAGGGGCCGGCTCATCTGGGGGTGGAGGTCTGAGCATGATGGAGGGAGGGGATTCAAGTGGCGTGAAAGGAGGAGGAGACCCGGGAGAGAGGAGGGGAGGTGAAGGAGGGGGCTCGTTTGGCGGTGGTCCTGGAGAGAGGCAAGGGGTGGAGGGGGTGGACGAGGGCGTGTCCGGAGGGGGGGAGTCCGGAGGTGGAGGGGGGGCGGGCTCATCTGGAGGCGGGGGTCTGTCGCTGGTGAATGTAACCCATCTGGGAGACATCGCTTCCTCGCTAGGGCGGGTTCCGTCGCCGAACACGTCGTCCAGGTCGGGGGCCGGGGGTCCGCGGTACGAGGCGGGGGACTGCACGTTCAGGTAGATGGGGGCAGAACTGCGACCTGCCCTGCCATTGGGTAGATCAGCTGCAAAGGGTTAAAGGTAGAATTTAGACCAAAGATTTTAAAGGATTTACCGGATGAATTATATTGAAAGCTTTATATTTACCAGCAGAGTCCGAAGAATAGCCGTAATGACTTCTGGATGGAATGTTTTTTGGAGGAAGCGGAGGAGGAGCTGAACAGGGATGAAAGTTCAGACAAGTTTAGCATGACGTTCAGATATCAACATAGACAGAAATGAACACATCAAGACCAACGTATCGCTCAATTGGTAGAGCTAGCAGCCCATGTATTGGCTCAACTCTGTCTGTATAATAAAGGCATTGGTTGCAAAAAAATAAGATTCTTCAATTAAAATAAGCATTATTATTTTCAATTAACTTAAGGCTAATAATCAAACACAAGGTGTTTTACAATAACTTATAAGATTAAATATCATCATAAAAAAATGGTGAAACCTAATTGCTGGTCACACACTAACATCGTTTTTAATAGCATGATACAGTATATACACTGTTGCCCATGAAGTTGGAAGAATTCATTTTTCAGACACATTCCTCTTTTTAATTGTAGTTTAATTTTCACTGTGATATGTTTGGAAGAGATTGATCATTAAAGTTTTGAGAAGATATACACTTATCTATCAAGAATAAATCACATTGTCACAATCATTTCATGAGAAGGTGTAAAAATGGTTTTATTCCAATGTTCCTTGACCATTATAACTGTGATTATACAGCTCTATAAGATTCTTATAACACATAACAAGTACGCATTATAGACATAAGAGTTATAGAAAGGGTAACAGAGGTGTATTTAAAGCTGACTCACCTCCTGTTGGGAAGCTTCTGCTCAGCGGGGATTCTGAGTGCGGTCTCGATTCTCCCCACGCATCTGCAGGGACCACTGTGATTGGATAACCATAAACAGACAATAAATGTCACATATTTAACTGGCAGTTCCTACGTGAATTGGTTAGTATAAATGAATGTAGCTTAATATGGATAAAGGACAGACCATCATATCTGGCATATCTGGTCTCTGAAGGCGGGCCAAAGAAGGCAGGAACGTTCTGCGAGAGCCTGTCACTGTAATAAGAAAAAACACAAAAAACATTTCACCTCTTTACAATTGAAATATCAACGGCTTACCAAAAACATACACACTGAATATAAGTGTACTAGTCCAATCAGTTGGCAACATTTCTAAAATAAGGACAGACCTCGGCGTCTCGGGGGCGGGACTTGGTGTTGGGGTGGAGCGTCTGGGTCTGGCAATCTCTTCACCTGCAGGAACACAACAAAAACTCAGTTGTTGCTCTTTGCACTTTTAACATTATCACATAAAATGTATAAAAATTGGCAATTGTGGTGTGGCTCGATGGATGGCCATGCTGGTCTGTTTGTCCATCCACCACCTTAGTCTGGACTGGAATATAATATATCTGGATTGACCCCAAATTTGATACAGTAATATATTACAATCACTTGTAACTTTTCATCAGGAGATATTGTAAGAAAATTGAAAAATTCTATTTGTGCAAAACTGGCATTTCCATTACCCTCAGCTGTACTTTGTGTTAAGCACTAATTAGCTAATGTTAGCTTTGGAGAGACTAGCTTACTGTATATTGACAAAAGAAAGACAATAACTTTCCTCGCTTTTGGAGCACCTATATGGAGATTTTGAAAACTTTTTTTACGTTTCTGGTAAATGTGTTGTATTCCATAAAGATAAAACATTTTTAAAACAATTAGTTTGAGCAAATGTTAGCATGCTAACACGCTAACCTAAAATGGTTAACATGATTCATTCCCATTCTCCACTCTCCTCTCCCATTCATACATCTTTTTGTAAACAAAATATGTCAGCAGTAGGTGTACTTACAGGACAAATTCCTTTTCATCTGCCCCTGTAAAAAATTGAATCCAAACAAAAAGTAAAATAAGAAACAGACAATAGTACAACACAAGCACGTCACAGCTCATTTCATTCTTCCATTCAATTATAACACGTTTTATTTTCTTAAAACAAGTGACAAAGAAGTGAGATTAGGAGGAAATTCATAAACATTTATGTATGATAACAACTTCTGAGGCACAAATATATATTTTTAAATAAGGAAGGTCAATTTAGTCATATCAAGAAACATTATCAATCTTAAAAAACTGAGATCTAGACACTTCTTTCACCAAAACATTACATATTTCACTTGTTTTAGGGACAATAATATTCTGAGACCTTTCAACCTATATTACCTATTTTTTGTATCTAAGAGTCGAATTTAGTATGTCATAAGGACTTGTTATTGGAAGGCCAGTGTTGTCATATTGTGTTGGAGTACAAAAAGTGTAGATTAGTGTTATCAAAAAATAATATTATATAATATTGTGGCTAAACATTTAGCTGTTTTCGGCAATGTGACATTTCAGAACAAGGACTTTTCCTTGAGCGAGATTTTGTTAGACACAAAAACAAACCCTTACCCTAAACCGTTTGAAAGATATTGAGTTTAGGATTATATACATCAGTAAAAAAGCAGGAAATCTCTTCTTCTGCCATTTTTGCATTAAAGAAATCTGTCAATCTACTAATCGCTCTAATCAAAAAGGGCACTTTGACACAACACGTGTGAAAAGTGGGTCCAGATTAATATATATACCAAATGTTCCCTTTATAACTGAATGATTGACTTAGACAGCAGATATTAGAGAGCTGTGTTTCAGGATGTTGGCTCTGAAACAGCCAGCAGAGGGTGTAGAGAAACTCACCGGGCTGCGTCTCTGAGACCAGCAAAAAGGAAGAGAGAACAGACCTGGGTCAGAGAGTGAGTGACAAATCAGTCAAATGGACACCAACTAAAACTGCACACACACACACATCGCACCGCTTTACTTGCACCACAAAGCTTTCATAATGCAGCATGAGCCATAACACCCTTTGAGATTATGAGAAAAATACCAGCATCACTTACGACCGACATGCACAGTGGTTAATGTAGCAAGTTGCTTCGCATGTTAGCTCCAAATCAATGGGTTTATGTGTGGGTGTCTCTTATGCAGAAGAGAAAGAAGAACTCAAATCCTTTACTTAAGTAGTGTATACCCTCTGTTTGCTTTTATTTAAGTAAAAGTAGAAATACTACCATCTTAGATTACTATCAAAAGTAAAAGTACTCAGTACACAGGATGGCTCTTTTGACGATATCATGCGGTGGCCGACAGGTGCAAACGCGCTGCAACGGCCCAAAACACTTCCATTAGGAGAAACATTGCGAATACAAAACGCTGCAAGAAGCTCAAAACACAACGGAAACAGGGACATTAAAAAGTGATGCACACAGCTGGGACCGGAGTGCTTGTTGACGTTCAGGGATTATAAAGTTGGCCAACTGTCACTGTTGCAGTAAGTGTTTTGTCAGTTTCTTTGAAATGACTAGGTCAGCTACGTAAGCTACCCAGCTTACAGCACGTCTGCAAGAATCATGCGATCATATTGTTAAAATAAACGAATAAAACTAACATTTTAGGTAAATTTACAGTGACCGTGACAGTGGGTCAACTTCATAATCCACGAACATCAACAAGCGCTCCACTCCCAGCCGGGTGCATTACTTTTTAGTGTCCCTGTTTCCGTTGTGTTTTGAGCTTTTTGCAACATATTTCTTAAATAAACCTTGCCCATATTTCGTCAAATTGGTGAATGTTTTCTAAATGCTGTGCATGGGTTATCAAGTTGTTGAAGATGTTTCTTCATTTGCATGTGTTTTGGCACTTTTGTGTTTTTATCATTGCATCGTTTCGCGAAAATGTTTTGGCCGTGTTTGCACCAATCAGCCGCCGTATTATAGTATCTTAAATTCTTTGTTCTTTGTCAATTTTGAACCAAACTACTTCCAATTACTTCTTAAAATACTGGGTAGATTAGTATTGCATCATAAAAGCATTATCATGTGTTTATATTTATACAAAGTGACTTATGTAGCGGAGTTAAAATGAAATGTTTGCCTCCAAAATGTAATGGAGTAGAAGTATAATGTAGCATAGATTGAAAAACTCAAGTACAAGTTTGTAAAAACAGTACTTAAGTGCAGTACTTGAGTAAATGTACTTCCACCACTGGTGTTATGTTTAATCTGCATTATGTAACGCTTTGCCATTCAGGTTCAAGTAAAGCTGTAGCTAAACAGAAACCAACAAAAAGAAGTTGAGGGATTAGAAATGGTGAGACAGAAACTGCATGCAGAAAAAAGCGTTAGGCCAAAAAAAGTGTTTATAAGGGAATTATCACGTTCTCATTTTTAAGTGAATTCATGCCATACGACCGCTGTTGCTGGTGAAACATAAATAAAAAAAGACTTACCGGACTTCTCTTCTACAAGACGACAGCAGAAAAGTGAAGAAAAGACAAAAAAAAGACAGACTTTAACAGCTGTTACACGTCATGAACCTTCAGTGCTGTGTAGCAGAACAAGGGTTCTGATCAGCAGCGCTCACCAGAGACGGAGAGAGGGCCAGGCCCCCCACCGAGGCTTTCAGCTCGTCCATAGACGAGGGGACACACTTGGCACTGTCCGCCACCAGTGGCTTGATCCTGATTTTGAACTTCTTCTTGTTCTCCTCATCTTCCTCCGAGTCGCTGGAGGAAAAAAAGTGCTTTCCTCTGGAAGCTGGTGAACATTTGTCAAGGACAAAGTAACATCAGATGGAGGCTTAGTCACTCTTGTACAGAATTTAAAAATAGCATATTCTTTTAAAATGAAAGTGAGATGCTCTGTGTCTCAGTCTGCTGTATCACAGTTACTAACTGTATTACACCTGCTGTTGATGAAACTCCAAACGATACTTCTTGGGTAAATGTTCATACTATTTTTCAAACAAAAAGCCACTGACACCTGCATGAGCAAAAATATTGATGAAACAGTGAACATGCGGTCAATCTTAATGATGATTGTGTGCTCAATTAAAGCCAAGATGGGGCTACACAAATCTGGCCTGACCTTACATGAATCTGCAAAGTTTCTGTCCAAGCATCCGAATCTAAACCATGTCAGCAGGTTCTGATTCAAGGGGCCCTATTATGCAAATGTCCAGGTTCATATTTGTAGTCTTTGCCTCTACTGTGACATATTTCCATGCCTTAATGTTCAAAAAGCTCTTTATTATTTTCATGCTGCAGCACCTCTTTTCACCCTCTGTCTGAAACCAGAGCCCAGTCTGCTCTGATTGGTTAGCTGGCCGGCAGACTGTTACAAAGTGATGTCACTTTGTTACGGAAGTGTGGGAGAGAAACTCCCTCTGGAGGTAACTTTGGGATTTTAGCCTTTGCAGACCATTTACATGCATACAAACCAAAGGCCACATTTCCACAATAAGAACAATTTCTTAGAAAATGTATATAAAACAATTTCCAGCTAAAGTCAGCCTTAGTTTTCACAGACTGTTTAAAGACATTTTTTACACACTTTCACTTCCTTTTTTTTTTGATTGCTGGACAACCCCTTTATCTCCATGCTAACTGTTTTTGTAAATGTGGATGCACTCCAAGACCAGAATAGTGCTGTAATAATGAACTAATTTTATTTGTTACAGTTGCACTTGCTCCTTCTCCTACAGAATGTTCAGCAAAGCCCAACAAATGTAACATGCCATTGCCATAGAGATGGTATAACATTACTCCCTATTAATGACAGAAAAAATAAACTCGCGGGTCAAGTAGGCCCCCATGGGGTCAGGGCAGAGAACCAAAACTCTAGTCTGGCTGCCCTTCTTCTTTCTTTTTTTTGTGCAACTGCAAGGACATACACATGTGATGTGGCAAGAGAGTGAAGGACTATTGATTTGGCCTATTTAATACAGCAAAGTACTCGTCCAAAGAGTCACTCAGCAGAACAGGTCAATAGTTTTGCAGGAGAAGAGTCCCAGGACTGCTTCTTCTCTCCTCAAAGGATATCATCGCCCTCGTCTCCGGGCCGGAGGCTAAAGCCCTCGTCGTCCACGTCAGGAGAGGCCTGGAAAAGAGAGAGGACAAAGTCTGTTACACAATGTACAGTCACAGAGGCGTCGCTAAACTCTTCCCTGTGAACAGCTCTGCATATAAATATGGGTCAGATTTCACAAAAGTCTGGCTGGAAGCTCCTGCTGACTCACAGAATATGCAGCTAGCACTCTATTTGCAACGTTTACTCAGTAATATCAAACCTAGCGATATGTGACACTGATTGCAAGTGTGCTTGGTAAGAAATATTGAAAAAAAGGAGAAGCTGCGCAGACTTACATATCTGTCCCAGTCAATCTCCCCATAGAAACCATTGGGTGCTCCATTGGCTTTTTTCTAATTACAAAATGGACCAAAGAGAGAATAATGAAAAGAGAAGTTAGTATAAACATGTCCGTGTGAATGATCAATTGTGCTTACCTACTTTATTAACTAACTTTTTACTTTCAAAAAGTGTGGTTCAAATTAAATGTTGGCTTTTTATGACATGTTCGATTGTCTGACTTTTCAAGATTCGTGCTTTGGCAGACTTGGTAGTCGTGCCGTGGCCAAAAACTACGTAAAGCAAGTTGTAATACATGGAAGTTATCCTCCAAAGGCAGTAACAGTTGCATTGTAAAATACTGAATCAATGGATATAGTATGTATATGTCCAGTTTCTGAATCACAATATCACTTTTGTATTTGGATGATTTTTGTTGTTGAAAAGCACTGGGAAGAAGACAGACTAACAGAGAAAAGAACCTAACAAACTACAAAACGATGTGAAATGTACATACACTTCCTTTTTTTCCGCTTCCACTTCCTTCTTTGTCAGGTGAACTCCTGTTTTGACAAAAGGACAAAAAAGTCAATTTTAGGAAAACAATATTTTAGGTTTGGCAATGATTTAATTATACTCATAGATATAATCATGTTATTCTACAATATCCCTTTCTTTCATTTAACAAAAATAGTCTCAAATGTGAATGTTGTCAAAACACAAACAGCGGTACAAGAACCTTGCCTTAACAAAATTGACAAAAATTGGCAACATTTTGAATTATATAAAAAAATATTGTTTTAGAGAATACAAAAAAGGCACAAATCCAACTAAACATTCTGTATTTGGCAAAGTTATATACTCAATGGTAGAGACATATTTCAGTCGGTCAAATGATTGAGCTTTGATACCCAGCCCTATTCATCCCCGTTCTGTTTTCAGAGTTGGACGGTTGTAAACTCGGCTTGTTAGTTGTGTCTGAGCAAACTCACGTTCCATCCGTATCCTTGTCCTTCTTCTTTAAGCCCAGGGCTTTTCTGGTTCTGTTTTTGAGTCCTAGTGCAGAGAGAGGAAGAACAACATCATGTATAATTAAATTAATGCTCTAGACTAGAGCCTAACTGTGCCACGAATTACACATATGATGTTTGTCAATTTAAAAAGATCATTTTGCAAGTAAAAAAAAGTAACACTTTTTTTGTGTGAAACCGCTCAATGAACTACATCTCCCGTCTCGCACCACACACCAAGACGGCCGTCACGTTGGCACATTTCACTTCTTTCTTTCAGAATGAGGCGAAAAGTATTAAAAGAGGTGAAAATCACTCCAAGTCTGGGCATGTTGAGAGCTGTACATACACACAAGGGGAGTTAGTCGGTTGTAAGAGCCAGCATGCCGGACCGGGATTCTGGGATTTGTAGGCTTTCTAGTTACGTATTTTTCATATGGGATTTGTAGTCTTTCTAGTTACGTATTTTTCATAGTCTTATATTTCAACAGTTTTACGACAAACTGTGACTTTTTTGACATGGAAATTATTTTTTAAAATTGACAAACATCATATGTGTAATTCATGGCACAATTCAAACGGGATCGAAAGATACGTTTTCTCTCCCCATTGACTTCAATACATAATCTTTCCAAAATAAGGTCCCATGGGTCAGAAGTAGATGGGCGGGACTTCGCCTCTCTATATAAAGCTAATAGTCTTGTCATTACAATGCACTTAAAAGCAAATAACACCAAAGGGTAACAGGCTGATGTAGAGTAACTTGAGGATGATTCTGTCCTGTTGGATACGCAGGAAATACAGTAACCACAATAAGATGATTTAAATAAAAAAATCGATTCGGGACACAAACATCATCTGGGGAAAGCCTTCACGTAAAAATAAAGCAGCGCAAACGTAATCCTCTAAAGTGTCCCCTCCCTGACTGAATTGAATGTAAGAAAAAACACAAACAAACATTGATCAATGTGTCCACTTCATTAGCAAGATTAAAGGCAGAGTGGGGGAAAGATCTACTATGGCAGCCATAGTCAGCCAAACTGGGTGCCAAGACCCCTGCAGCACAGACGGTTGGCACTATGCAGCGAGTCAGGACGGCTGGGACAACAGACAAGTAATCATTCAACATGTGCAGAGCATGAAGATCTCTGCAGAACAAGGTATTTCTATGTAGAATTGTAGTTGAATAGTTCATCTGTGTTTTTGATACTGGTTTGTGGTGTCAATGACCAACCTATGGCACACATGCACTGCATCTCTGAAATGAGGTTAACACCGGTCAGTGGTACTTACATGTTTTATGTCTGACAAAAACATTTGAATATCTCTTAAGCTTAAGCTGATTTATTTTGTGATTTTAGTCTGCAACAATATTTACATTTTAAAAGAGTGTAGATACATTTGATGTAAATCAGTAACATTTAAAAAGATTGCATTCAGTAGCAGAAGCTAGTTGAAGCGAGTTAGCATGCAAACTTTCAGATATTTTAACCAAACATGCTCACATACTGATGTTTATATTGTTGTTGAATTACTTTAGTGTGTTAGCATGCTTCACACTGATGTTTAGCATGCATTGTTGAGGTATTACTGTAATGTGTTAGCATGCTAATATAGGCGTCTGCTGTTAACCATGCATTGATGTGGTAATAGTTTATCGTGTTAGCATGATAACATCCAGACATCTACTATGTATCTTTGTGGTACAAGTGTAGCATGTTAACAAGCTAACCTACAGATGTGAACCATGTCTTGCTAATGTGTTAGCATGTTAACATTTGAATTTTAGGCCTAATAAAGCTTAGCTGAAGGTAGATAAATGAGATGAATAGTAAAAGGGATGAATGATTTATTCTCTGGACATCACAAATGTCTGTATATTTTCAGTCTGGACCAAGGTGATGGACTGAAAGACCAACTGAGCACAGACAGAGGCATTTCCATTTTGACTAGCTAAAATAAGCAGATGATTAGACATTGACACCATTTGACATTGATGATTCAAAAAGGTCTGAGAGTTGTAGAATTCTCTGTCAAATAGAGCTGAATGGCTACTCAGTGTTTGTTTGTTTGTTTGTCCTGCTCTGTGAATACACAAACAACAGAGGCTAAGAAGGCTAACAAGCCGAGTTGTTCTAAGTGAGAATATTCCTGATTCTCTTAGGTTAAGAATGTCAAAAATAAATATGATTGTATTAAACATGTACTCGTCTGACACCTTAAATAACAAAAAGACAGTTGATCAGAAGTATAAAACACTGCAAGAAAATAAAATCATCTGAGTAGTATTCTCTCTTCTTTATGCATTGGCTCGGTGTGGAACATGTTTCTTCCCAAGAAAAACAAGCGACAGGTTTGCACAACAGTGTTTTAGAAGACAAGAGAGCACAGTTGATTCTCACATCCATACAAGAGCAACAGGGACACGTGTGACAGACAGTTGGGTGGTGAACATTTTGTGCTATTCAGAGGCTGCCTGTGGGCTGTTTTTGAAAACAAGAATACATGATTGCTCATTTATTTTTTCCAATATGTAGTCCTGTACTGAAAAGTAAATCAAACTGAATTTGAAATCAAATAAATATTGAGTCAGCACACACACACAGATTAAAACCCTGATAAGAATACATTCTATAAAAGGGAAGACTGGTGCTCAGTACCATTCACTTGGGAGGAAGCTCTCCAGTGTACTGAAGGACGTGTCAGGACCTGTGATGTATTAGCAGCTAGCCGGGCTGCTCAATAGCACGGATTACTCCTGCATCACGACCTTTATCAGTGGAGACAGCTCTGAACAGCCAGCCTTCTGTCCACTCCTAACCTGCACGTGTGTTGTGTGATAAGGAGTAAAAATAGAGATTCAAGCTGAACCTAATATGTGACAAACTTGCTAAAAGAATAGTAAACATACTGGGGGAGAAAAAGCAAACTGCTGCTTTTATAAGCCAAGTGTGCCTGAGGAGAGCCCTACAACTCTCATTAAACAGTGTAACTAAGGATATTAGCTGTAGTTCAGTTTGGGTCTTATTTGTGCTAATACTGCGAGACAAGTTGGGCAATATTTCCGTTAAATATTTTGCTAAGATCTAGAATATGTTGTTGTTATTTTGGCACATACTTGAGATTGGTGCTTTTTTACTAAAGAATGATGTAATGATATTACTATATTTTTACAATTTTAACATAATTTGATTTTCAAATTAGAGTTTCAAATGCGCCTCTATGCTTTCAGAAAATTGATAAAAACATCCCAAATTTGAAGGCCGACATTTTGAGAGGTGAAGGATCTTTATCTTGTTTTTCTTCTGAGAATAATGTTCAATTGTCAAGAATGAAGCGGAAAAGTTGACAAAAAGGTTGAATGTTTAGTATTAATAAAGAAAAGAATGGGACGATTTTTTAAATATTTTTGCATTTCAAAATTAAGTCGAAATGAAACGAATAAACTACGAGCATTATTGCATACAGTGTATACTGCAAAGTCGGTCGGCTTTATTCCAGAAAAGTCATTTTAATACTAGGAATTCTAAAAGGACAATGTCCTCCTCCTCTCGTTTCAGCCCTGTATGTCTGTCCCTAATAATTACATTACATTACATGTAATTTGTTAGACACTTTTATCCAAAGCGACTTACATACATTCAGTACTGTGGGCAATCCCCACAGGAGCAATTTGGGGTGAAGTGTCTTGACCAGGGACACAACGACATGCTGACTGCAGTGAGACTCGAACTTGCTACCCCCTGATTTGAAGTCTAGCACTCTATCCACTTAGCCACAGCCGCCCCGGCCGAATAATCTTCCGTACATATACTCCCATCACTTTCACTTCGGCATAAAATTCATCTTCACATGGTAAACCTCAAGTACACTTTTTGTGAATGTTCAAATGTATCAGGGAAACCCGAACATCATGAACAAAGCTAATTATTTCATCCAAAACTGACACTGCACACTGTCTCTAAGACATCTGTTGGTTTCCGAAAAGCCTTGCTACAAAACTGAAATCATTTTCATGACCTCCAACTTTCTTGCTTTGAGAAACCTTTTTCTAGACTGAAGGGTCACTATCAAGGGTCTAGATTTCTCTTAGCATTATCTTGGAGTATTTATTGGCAGAAGGCTCCAGAGGAAGTCAATTTCTTCAAGAGCATTCAGCTGCATCTGGTGGCCTTTATCAATAGGTGGAGTACAAACAGTGTGTGCAGATGAAGGCTATTAGATTAGACTGAGAGCTCCAGAAGAAATGTGGATTTTGACTTAAGGCAATCTTAAGGTAATAAATTATACTTAAAGTTCAATTCTCTGACTGTCAGCAGCGGACTACTAAATCTCTGATAATGGAGTCTAAAAATATATCTGAACAAACCAGCGTGGGAAGATGTACGTTATTGATACTGGTTGTCAGTTGTGCATAGGTGTGAACATTCTTTACACACCTTCCTCTGCTATAGCAACACTGACAGCCTAACAACACTATGCCTCAGTTACCAGTCATATAGAAATATTTTGAATTACAGAGGAAAGACAAAACCAATCAACCAAGGTTGGGAAAAACTAGTTCCAAACAATCCCAAGGAAACGTAACTTAACTTGTTTAAAGGTACACCTAGAAATGGGGAAAGTGTTATTATCTGTTTGGATCTTTATTTTAATAATTGTTGGATATTTTGAAATAGGGATGTAGGATATAGGATTTGTGCCGATATCGGAAATGACAACCAATTCCAATTGATGCCAATGACTTGCCAAAATCATTGTGTATCCTTAGTGTTGAATTGTAGAATAAGCCACTTATTTTGCAGGTGACAAAACAACAAGTGGCACCACCACCTACTGATATCTTATACCAATGAATACATGTAATATTATTCATATTACACATGATGATGTCTTGGTTTTCAGTCCAATTAGTTGTCTTTACAGTGTGGTCGGATGATCGATTTTCTTTTATAGTGTTGCCTGGAATGGATCACCTATCCATAAGGCTGCAAATGTTGACAAGTTGATTTTCATACAGTCCTGGTATTAACTGCATCAAGAGGCAGCCTGAATAGATTGGTAACAATGCCATGCTCGGTTACATGGACAACATTTGGGCCGTCCTCCACTAAAATAATAACCTCGATTCTGTCACTTAATTGACTAGATCTGTTGAACATTATATACAAAAGTTACAGACAGATCCATGCAAAAGTATCACCTTAAATCTGTGTTTGCCAAAGATGTCCTAATAGGTTTTTATATTTAATACGTCATTCAGCATAAAAATTGTGTAAAAAAAGTATGAATCTATTCAAGAAATCTCTTTTAGTCGGTTAAGAACAAACCAACCACGAGGCGGGGGAGCCATTAGTGTAAAGTATGTATGATAGTTCGTTTTTGGGGCAGAACATACATTTAAAAAAAAAAGCATTATGGACCTTGGAATCAATGTCAAACCACTGTAGTGTAAACAGTTCCAAACAAGGTCATTTGCACAAGCTTGATCAAAGACTAACATACCTTTTTTTACACTATGTAGTCTAACATTATAAGGCTTGTTCAGAGTATGTTTAAAATAATGTAGCTTTTCTATAATATGCTGCATAAACAAAACAGTTGTCATGTAGCCTTCTGCACACTCCATGTCTGCGTCCAGATAACACCACTAAGTACACCTGACAGCCTACTGTACACAGTGGACTTAGCCACGCAGCTAACGAGGGCTAAGATGAGCATGTGACACGTGTGCTGTTGTATAGCTCAAGAACTGAGTACTATATCATGGCAGGCTGACTGCAGGCCTTTTTGCTAATAATAGCCAACTTCTATTACCACGTTGGCATTAATGGATGGTAAGGGCCCAGCATCTGTCATGGAGGGTTGGATAAATGATTCAGCTCCTCCATCCGAGTTTATTCCACTACTGTTTACTTTGCAACAGCAGCTGTAACTTTATTTAATGCAACATGAGCACTAAAGAAAGGCATGGTTTAAGGCATTGATTGGAATATTATATTAAGCTCTGATAGCAGCAGAGGTTTGAATGAGTGCCGCTTCCTGTTCTTTTGAAACATGTATTTGTATGACTAAGTGTGTAACTAAAGGGAGCACACACACACACACACACGTGTAAACACACACAGCAGGAGATTAGCAAGGCAGGGCTACACTGCTCTTCCTTTACAAATCCACACCTCCGCTATCACCTGCATTTTCTCCTAATGTGTCACTAACAACGCCACGCTCCCACACTGACATTGTCACACCGGTCATGCATGCAGCTCGGCTCAAAGGTCCTCACGGTACGACGGATCTCATCACGGGGATTCAGGAGCTTTAACGGCCCCAGCAGGGACACGAGAGGGCAGGAGGAGGACGCAAAAGAAACCATGGGAAATAAAAGGAGCAGGAGGAAGAGCACTGATGATTTACCTTGCATCATGACTGCTGCTTTTCATCCTACGTGGCGCCCCCCCCTGGTGCGCAGAAATGGAGAAATCCAGCCGGTCAAAGGATGCTCGGGTAGGGCATAGCTAATTCCGCACAGCTCCCCCAGCGAAGCACGATTCCCCTCCACCCCCGAGGGCCCCGACTCCCAGACACCCGCACAGGGAGGTGGGGTGGTAAAGAGCTTTGGAAGAGCAGAAGCAGCAGTGGCGGCGGTGGAGGACACGGCGAGAGGAGACACCCGAGGAATATGCAGCAAATCGGGGGATGGGGAGGGGGCGTCCTCTCTGAGTGCACGTTAGGCCCCGGCCGCCCGAGCAGCACCGACACACGCCATCTCTGAGAGGGGGGATGCTGAGGAAAGGAGAAGGAGGGGAGGGATAAAAAGCAGAGCGGTACAGAGAGAGAGAGGCGGAGAGAGAGGGGAGGGAGGGAGGGAGGGAGGGAGGGAGTGGGAGGCTTGCTGATGTCACATCTGCACTAAGCCAATCCCTGCAGCCACGGTCACATGGCCGCTGTCCCCTCAGCACCTCTCGGCTTGCCTTGAGCAGACACTCCACAGCCATCTGCATACATATTATACAAGGTCACACGAAATGGGATGCATGGAATTAAGGAAAGAAAATAAGAATTGGAACATTGCCTACATTTTAATCAGTGTGTCTACTGTAAATGTACATTTTCTTAAAAAAAAAAATACATTTGTACATTTTTGCAGAATCATTTTAATGTGATTCATCACCTTTTCATATAGGCGTATATATATATATAATTGTTTTAATATTATATATTTGATGTTATATATTCATATGTAAGCTAAACATTTCTTTTTGTATAATTATATGTTATATTTTGTATGCTCTTTATTACTTCTTTATATTATTTTATTCATTATATTTTTTATATTATATGATATTAATTATTTATTATTATTTTATATACATTAATGGTGGAATGTAATAGTACATTTACCTCAAAGTAACTCAAGTACTGTACTTAAGTACAATTTTCAGCTATTCGTACTTTACCTGAGTATTTTTATATTTTTATTTCATGCTACTTTAGACTTTTACCATAACGATTTATTAAACTTTTGTTATATGAGTTTATTTTGATGCCAATACTTATGCACTTTTACTTAAGTAAGATGTTGCAAGACTTTTACTTGTAACTTGAATTGAGCGTAGTACTTCTTGGTCCCCTGTTATATATCCAGGACAGAGAGCAGCAGAGATATCTTTTTGAAAAAGGCATGACTCAACCACAGACATAAAAGGATAAAAATAAGAGGTCAGGCGCTGTCTTCGAAACCCTTAAGTCTCCTTAAGTCCTTTGTTGAAATCATGAATAGACTGAAAAAAAAGATATAACCGAAGAGGAAAGATTATTTCATGTTTTTTTGGGTTGGTTAACCACATGATTCTGTCCTTGAGAAAGCGACAGTTAAAAGCCCTGATAAAAAGGCCTTGGGTTTCTTAGGGAAGGGAGTTTTGAATATAAAGCAATTGATTAGGACAGCAAAGATAACTATTTAAAAGCAACGTTATTGTCTGAAGCTAAATTAAGTCAGGTCAAACGTACATGCAAAGTCAACACATTTATATTGTAAATGGTTCAACATAAGTTTTTAAAGTACTCCTCTGGAGTTTCAGACTACTACTAGTGCTATTGAAATGACTGTGTTCATGCAACCAACAATGAATATTAATGCACATGAGCATATAGTAAAATAAAAAGCTCAGGGCCTTGCAGTGAAAACAGATAGTTGAGTTTGTTTATATTGTTTCGTCCGCTGCTAGCTTGCGCCGCTACATACATCTGATTTGTTACGCGTCAGAGGCTCAGCGGTGTCAAGGTCAAAGTTGAAATAATTTGAACTTTCTTTGCAGCGCTCAGCGCCAATTTTCGAGCGATGCCGAGGCTAGTGCTTACGACGAGTCGGGCGTTACTGCATTCTCCATAAAAACACAACGGCAATGGCAGCGCAGACTTGTGTTACCGCGTATCATGTGAATGCAGCTTGACTCAAATCAGTCAACTTTTCCCTCTATTGTACTAAAAGGCCCAAAAGATAAATATTTCTCTCAATCAGTTTCAACTAAATTAAACGTTTCCACAGGAACTGTGTAAAGACGCCTAGTTTCTGCCAAATTTTAAGCAAAGTTGTTTTTCGTCATGGTGACATCGCGCACGTCTAGATATATATATCTATATAATCATGATATAGAAATAATTCATTCAGAATGGGATAACAGTTGTTGCATATTTGATCAAACTACTCCTACTGGAGTAGCTTGTTATTCTGGATTTTAAGTGTTAAACTCTTAATGAATAATCGTAGCTTTAGCTGATAGCTAATAATTGCTTTTACTGTAGCTTATCCATGCACGAATATTTGATAACATACTTAAGACTTGACATATTTAGGGGCTTTAAAGAGAGATGAAATTGGAAACAACATACTAATCAAAAGAGACATCTTTTTGAACAGTAGGGATAAATAGGGAAAATAAATGGAGAAGAAGATAAGAGCGACAGTTGAGCCTATGGGTTGCCTCCAGGATACGGGAACCAAGGATGAGCAAGAATGCCCAGTGGAAGGGCCAAGTCTTATATTGGATCCATTAGAGTGGATGCAGTCCAAATACAGACACAGTGCTTTAGCTGATGGATCAGAAAAATGTGGTTTGCAGATTATCTTGCTGAACAGAATGTGTGAGTATCATATTTACCTAACACTTCATTTTCAGCAACAATCTGTGTGATGCTAACTAGTCTTCCCGGAAGTTAGCATTGCAAGGGCTGCCATGAAAGAAAGCAATGGGATTTTCCATTGGATTTCAGAATATTGCAGAAATAAAGAAATGTGAAAAGCACACGTTCATGACACTTACATGTTTTGTTGAGAAGGATAATCCCCACATATTAACAAGTATACTTTTATAATAGTCTAATGTTAGGCTATTCATTAACTAAATAATGCATGGCTTCACTCTCTATGTTTGGCGCAATGACTTTTAGTTGTGTAATTTAGCCACTAGTTAGCAAACTCTGTTTTTAAAACACCTAAAAGTGTTGGTATTTATAAGTGTGGTATTTCCTTACGTATTAAATCCGTAGAACAAAACGTGAAAATCTCAAAACTTGTTTTTGAGACAAAAGTGCTGAGTTGCTAATATGTGCTAATATGCTAACTAGTTTCCAGGGTCAGGACCTTTTCCTGCACCACTCTTTATTAACTGCCATGCAACTGCAAATTAGGAGTTTGTTTGTATTGTTAGAAATGTGTGTCACACTGGAGGACGACAGTGTGTCTACCACCGCAGAGAACACACTGTCAGCTGTAATCATGACTCACATTTTCGCCCGGGAGAAAGACAGGGTGGCAGAGGACAAACATTTCCTACATGTGTTACACTTTGGTAGAAAAAATTGATGTTTTAGTAAAAGCTATGGTATGGCTGCTTTGATAGCTGCGTATTAGAGCAGAGTGACTCAGCCTCACTGATAGGGGATGGACAGATGGGGGAAGGCAGTTAGAGGATAGTACCGTGGTGTGCGTGTGTGAGAGTGTGTATGTTTTAGTGTTGGGGGTAGACGTTTCTGCTGTGGAGGTCATGTCGTTTTCATAGATGAACAAATAATAAAAACCCTGATGCTAATTGTAACCTTACACATGGTATGTTTCTGTCCCGTGACTATTGTATGTCAGTGAGGTAGAGTGTCAGAGTGTGTAATCGGACACAAACACACCTCTGTAGGTTACTTTATATTGTCTGTATGCATAGAGAGTATAAGCCCTTTAGTAGGTCGAGTCAGATATGATATAAAACCCGGAAATCCAGACTATTTAGGAAACACCTTCATCTGGTGTCATCACTTCCTTGATATACTTTCCCCACTACTGCGGTTTATTTGTAGCTGTTGTTGGGCATCCAGGAGCAACTGATAATGAGCTTACCTAATCTGGCAATACACCACGGGCTGCTCCCGTATGCTTTTCTTAACCTGCTACTTACAGAAGATGCCATCGAGGGGTCAGGCAAGCAGGATTAACAAAGTAGAGCTGGACAGAGAAAAACACATGGAGAGCTGTTGGCCCAGGATGACTTCATGTTTGGAAATGTGCTTCAGATGTACAGGGGAGAATGGAAACTGGGAATACATCATGAATGCTTCTGTTGGTGTAGGAAGTATTCAGATATTTTATTTAAGTAAAGGGAGGTTGTAAAATGACACTGTGTAACTAATAAAAGTCATGTAAGGATATTGTTACTTGAGTAAAAGTAAACTAATCAGGAAATGTACTAAGATATGAAAAATAAAAGGTGGATACGTTTCTCATCTGTTTGACTGTCTGTTATATCATTGGATTTCTGACTAAATATATTGTATTGGACGGAAACTAATAACCATTTTTGATTCTGTATTATTCTGCAAATCATTTTTTCCTTTTTTGTATTGTTTGGTTTCTAAAAAAACTGCGAGAAGAGCTGTTACAATAACCCATGTAAACCAGGGCCTTTTCCCCACGTTTGTTTTGTTCGATCAGGCGCAGAGATCTCAACATTCTTTAAAACAAAGAATGAGTGGAGAAAAACTCCCTCTGGGATTTTATCCTTTGCAGACCATTTACATGCACCAAAACCTATAGAACACACTACAGGAAAGGGAAACCCCCCAAAAGCATAACAGGGTAAAACTTGAAGTAAAAAAAGCTGTCACATATCTCTAGTAAACTGAAAAGTACATTATTTCCCTCAGAAATGTATGTAATAGAATTAAAAAGTGGCATACAAATAAAAGACTCAGTTAAGGCACAAGTACCTCAAAAGTATACTAAATTACATAACCAAGAAGTAAATGGACTAAGATTATTCTGAATATCTTTGAGAAAATATGTCCAACGTACCAAGTGAAAAAAAAGCCTCTTCCAGGTGGGTTGAGCTATGTTTTATTCCACAACATATAAACCAAGCTGTATTATATTCATATAGATTAAATTCAGGATGATAATAAAAACTATGGATGATATATAATGGCTGACAGGATTACTATGTGCTGTAAATCCCTTTACTGTGTGTGGCTCTATACCGCCACCTACTGATGGAGTTATTGAGAGCTCATCATCAGCAGTGGTGGAAAGTACTACATTTAGTACTATGAGTAATATTCTTAAGAACAGTTTTTACTCCACTTCATTTACTTAACACAAACTATTATGAACTAATAATTGATCATGTTTTATTATATAAGTTAGCATACACTTTATTATAGAGAGGCGAAGTCCCTCCCTTTCTGGGGGAGCTCCATGGGACATTATTTAAAAAAAAGTATGTATTGAAGTCAATGGC